TAATTCTTTGTAGTTACTCTGTTTCTAAATACTCTGTTTTGAATTCATTATGTTTCAACAGTTAAATACAGTTTTTGTCCATCATTTATCAAATCTACATCAATAATTTTACCTTCATCTTCAGATAATACACAAGAAGCTTCCGGAACATTCAGCTGTTCCGCTGCAGTTCTTACAAGCTCCTCGATGCTTCGAGGCACCCACAATACAATTCCGCGTCTTCTCTTCTCTTTCGCGTCATTGGGATGTGAAGAATACACTGTACATTTCTTCTTATACACTTTATCTGCAGATTATTCGAATAGATAACCGCTCGTTAACGTCTTAGTTAAAAATCGAAGAAAACACCGGTGCGTTGATCTATAAAGCGATTAAACTACCTTTAAGCTCTTTGGAGCTACTCGGAAACGAAGAGATTTGAGAATTCTTAGCATCTTGGAGTAATTTTATCAACATCTTGTTCCCACAACCCAAGGCTTCATCTAGAGGAGTATTTCCCCATCTAATTCATATACGAAAAATCGGTTAATAACCGCGAAAAACAGACATCTATTTAATTAGTAAAGAAAGAATATAACCTGTCTTTTGCAAGAACATTTGCACTTGCTTCTACTAATTGCATTGCCAAGAGATACAATCCTTCAGAGGAAGCAACATGAAGAGGTGTCCTGTGATCATAATCTTTAGAATTAGGATCAATTCCGTTATTTAGAAGCCGTCTGAGGAAATCGCTGTCTCCTTTCGCAACCACCGTGCAAAGGAAAGTCCCCGCGCTCTCTATGTTCAACGTAGCACCTTCTTTCACGAGCAAAGCCGCCACACGATCATTACCGTTCTTGATTGCATCAAGTAACGGTGTGTTACCTAATTTATCTTTTATATTTACATCTACTGATTCTTGAATAAGATATAATGTAATGTCTTCATATCCTCTAGAGGCTGCAAGATGCTGTCAAAGAACCAAACATTTTAGATAATGTTCAAATTACGATTAAAGAAAACCGAGAAGCTTTAGGACCGTACCAAAGGCGATCTACCGTCATAATCGGTCTTATTCGGGTCAGCTCCAGCTCGAATCAAACTCTTGAGCTGGTAAAGATCACCGTAGAAAGCCGCGCTATTCAACTTCAAAGCTAGCTCTGCCTCTTGTTTACTAATATGAAAGGTTATATCGGATTCCAATTGCTTAATCCGTACATTTGATTCTTTCCCTTGAAGTAAATTGTTGAGAATTCTCCGTCCATCGTGGAAATATATCTCGAGAATGTTCGTAAAAGATTGTTTATCTAGCCTTAGAATCCGACACAGCTCGGAAACTCGAACCGTGTAAGGCTGAGGAATATTGCAAAGGATTGAAACCTCTCCAAAAGAATGATCTGGTTGTAGAAGTGCCACTATTTCTTCAGAACCATCTTTAGCTGTACCTATCTCTTCCTGATTTTAATCACAGAGATCTTGTTATACGATATTCCTAAGCATATATAGACGAAAAACGCCGAATTTCGCTTACCAATACACCGTGACAAACGAAGTAGAGTTGATCAACAACGCTTCCTTGTTCCATAATAACTTCTCCAGGGAGAAAGAATTCTTCATGAAGTCTTATAACCTGTAAACAAAACAAAAGTGTAACCTTTTTGAGTTTCCTTGAAGAAAAAAGTTTCGATTTTTACAGTCTGAATCGAAAGGCTTACAATCTGGTTAATGAATTCAGATGAGCACCCGCGAAAGAGAGGAACTTTATCAATATATGGCAAGTATAAAGTTTGTGCAATCTGCAGTTTTAAAACATGGAAGTCAGATTTGTTTATCATCTAAACGAACATTGATGATCTAAAGCATCATCGTCATTTACCTTAGCGCGGATAGAGACAGGTATGTCTTGAAGAACAGCTGCCTCAGTGTAGCTACTTTCGTACTGCAACCGCAAATGTCCAGTGATCTGACTACGAATGTTTCTACCGAGTTTGTTTCGGTTCATATACCGCATAATATCCGCCATCTTATCCCGGAATCTCTCTGTTTTCGAACCTTTCACAATCAAAGCTGTCATGTTACCGATCAAGTAAGCGCCTAGAATCATGTCGAATGAAATGTAGACCATCGCGAAAATCATTTCCCGCATATTAACCGCGTGTATATCTCCATAACCTGTATCAAAATAAAACATACCAAGTTGAGGGTTCTTATAACCCAAAAAAACGGAAACCAAAGCAAAAGAATCACCAAGTTATCAATTGATCAAAACTTACCAACAGTTGCCATAGTGACAACAGCAAAGTACATAGAAGTAGTGTATCGAGTCCAAAGATCGATATCTCTAAACTTTGAGTAACTATAATCTCCCAATTTCAAGCTTCCAATCCAAGTGTACCCTTCTTGAGAAGCAGGCAACGTCGTAGCCAAGTAATAGAAGATACAGGCCGCGGTGTGAGTACAATAGAGCTCGACAAATATAAGCTTGATGATTCTAGTGAAAAGGTAATTGATTCTTATATCTTTCTCCATTTTGTGGAAAAACAGGATTACTCTATGAACTCGATATAGCCTTATCAACAATAAGTATCTCACTTCTTCTTTTTCACCTGCAGACTGTTTTTAAAACTTAAAAGATTCAAATCTCCGTTCGATTACTCGCAATTTGAGAAAGATCGAAGAGTAAGACAATGTACCTTGTAGATTATATCCCATGGCATACAAGCAAGTAGATCAATAATAAATGTTGATTTCAAGTACCTGGAAAAATTGTGAACACCATAAGAGTATAAATTGGAGCAAAATTGAAATTTTAACAAGAAAATAGAAGCAGAGGATCGAGTTTTAATACCGTAAAGCGATTGAGCTGCGTCTATAGACCATTCTATAAGTTCGGCTATCTCTATAACCAACGAAGAATGTTAAGACGATATCGACTAAGAAAGCGATTTGGCCAACGATATCGAGGATAAAGAGATTCTCTGGTAATCCTCTGAAGAATCCGAATTCCAATGGAGTGAAGAAAGAAGAGTAAAGTGCCCATATCATTATGAACATTGTCCACGCCTTGTACCACCTTCAAAAATCGAAAAGAATCAGTCTTTAGATTCCGACAGAATCATTAGTAGCTTCTAAACTAAACTCATTACTTCTGATATGTTCCAAAACTTCAGCAAAACAGAGTTTTTGTGACGTGTATAGATTCATGGCCGTTAGATTTCTCACAAGAATGTATAACGAACGATGATTTGTGACCGTTGAGGAAACTGAAACGTGTCATAAAGTGGCGGGAAAATGGATGAATAACCGAATAAACAGTAGTTACAATAAAAAAGAAGGTTAAAACCACATTCTAGCCCCTGAGGTTTTTGTTTCCTTTATAATTGACCCCAAACGTTGTTAATCTCACAATCTTGTCTTCTAGCTCTTATATCTTGAGAAATAAAATAAAAAATGCCACTTTTCAAGTGTCACTTTACAAAAATGCCACATTTTTGATATCTATACAAGAATGCCACTTTTTCAAAATTATTTTTTCTTTATATTATCTATGTTTGAGTTAACTATGTTCTATTAGGATTTAGTTATGAGAGTTTAGGAGGTTGAGGGGTCAAAACATTTTTTAGTGTTTAGAATTTTAAAATATAGGTTTTAAAAATCTATAATTAGTGATATTTTTGCAAATAAACATCCCTAAGTGACATTTTTGCAAATATACACATAAAAATGTCATTTTTACAATTTTCCCTCTTATCTTTTACTTTATATTTCATTAAAAAACATTTTAATATTAAAATTAAATTTCATGATTTAACTAAATCCGTACATTAAATGAAGTGGGATAAATCGAAATAAATCAACACGTAGGGTCTATTTCTGAAACAAGAAAAAAAGGGACTAATAACGAAATATTCAAAAACATGAGGGTTGCTTTTTCTAAATATTTTTTACCGGTTATCGGGATGAACAATGGAGCCTCTGGAGATATCTCTGATTCCATTAATGACGGTGAACTTTCCTCCTCCGTTACCGGCGACGAAATCTAACCCTAAGAAATTCGTGAGAGGATTAAATCTGTTTCCTCGAGATTCTACAATCCCTTCTCTGAAATCATCAACCTCGTAATCTTCCACTTCCACGTCGGAATCGCCGCCGCTCCGGTATGAACCTCCGCCGCCGCTACTACCTCCCATTTCTAGATAATGGCGAAATCGTGTTTACCAAGATAATCGGAGAAGACAATCTCTCTGTTTTTCTCTCTCTTCTCTTATTATTTTTTTTTGTTTTTGGGTCACAA